CCCTTCACAGCAGCGGTGCTCCCTCCCTAACCAGGGTGTAGGGGGGGTGTTAAACTGTCAAAGGCCTGCAACATTACAGATAGCTATGTTGCAAACTAAACTACATGTGGATGTGGTTTAGTTTGCAACATAGCAAACTCATTTAAATCATAACCCCCCCCCCCCGCACGTGTACAATTAAACAGCAAAAATTTCCTTGCGTGGATAAGCACCCATAGTTCTATCCTCAGACAACTTTAGTTTGTTGCTCCATTAAAAAAATGTAAATATACTATAATGTCACTTGTTTTAATATGAAAGCATAAAATGAAAACACAATTAAATTATATTTATATGTTACAGGAACCCACTTGCTCTCTTGAGAATGCATTTGTTACATTTATGCCATATGTTTCCAGGATCATTTCCAGAGAATTTCATATAGCATTACTGTAAAACATAAATAGGCTACTCCAGTCAAAAGTAATAAAGTGTATGACTTCATAAGTCAGAAACAAATGAAACAATGGAACTGGTTGTCAACAATATCATCATACTCATGTACCATGCACTGTTCTGACTTTTCCTGTCCTTTTCCCTAATTAATTTCATTTTTATAAGAACAATTCCATTGGATGAATGTTGCTTTGAGGTAGAAAGGTCATTTGGTCTTGAATCTAACCTGAGGTGCTACAGTATTGACATTATTTCTAAATATCTCCTCCATACAACTGAATGGGTTTCCAAGCAGTGGGAATGCATGTTTCATAGCTGATATTACACAGCTGTTGAGACCCAAATGGAAGTATACTGAAAATTACCTGAATACTTGTTTATTCTTAATAAAGATTCAAGTAAAAATAAGCCACTTGCTTTTGGGTAAGTGTCCTAGATAATCTCCTTTCAGTATGTTTCACCAGGGTAACTTAAATTCATAATACTATATATCAACATATGCACTATGTAAATAATTGTATCATTAAGCATACATGTCCCATGCACATTACACATCACTGAATTGTAACCTGTTTTCAATTTCTGCTGATTTGGTCCGTAATTGATTAATAGTGCTGAAATACATAGAGGGAAGAACTCCAGTTTCTGTAGCTGCCACTTTCAGGCTGCACTATAAGGCTCATCTTTTTAACAAGCCTGCTGAGAGAGTGAATACAGCCACTGTAATTAATTAAGTCAAAGCAAAACGGGGAGTTTTTGTATGCATTTATTTGGTGCCTAGGATATTTTGTAGTGTGGTTATTTGTTTTTCTTTCCATGTTGTGTTTTAACTGCTAGAAATACTGACTGTAAGAAAGGCACTTAAAAAAATAAATAGCACATTTACCCCAATGACTGGAAACTGCTTTACAGGGGTCAAAATTTTAGTATCAGTTATATGCACGTAACTGTCAGTGAACTTAGTTAAAGCTGCACAGCAGTAGCCAAGAGATGCATTTGGCCATCAAATTTATGCATAAACAAGAAACCTTTTAATCAGTTACTAATTGCAGCCATGCCTAGAATGAACCATTTTGGCGACTTAATTGTGTAAATTGGTTTACACAGGACAGAAAGAATAAAGGAATCTCTATATATCATGTTACAGAGAGGTTTGAGTTCACATTGTTAATATCTGGGCAGGAAAACAAATAAGATAATTGTAATGGGTACTAGAAGTGGCATGGATAAGCTCTTTAGTTTTACCTGTCATCTGAAAATGGCACCCCCAAAATAGAGTGCTCCTTAACACCTTTCCAATACATCAGCTGAACTTAGCTCAGATGGCAGAGTTCCATATGCTGAATTATGATAATATCTGGCTGTATCCCTGCACTCAAAACTTTCAAAGTCCAGGGAATTGTAATAAGCATCTATTATAACAATTGCTATGTGTCATAATATGAATAGTTCCTCCTGAGAGGATTATAAAGAGAATGCAGTATAGGCCAACTAGCATTCTGGCACATAGCCCAGGTTCTGTAGTAAACCGAGGCTTGATATGCTATTGTACTGGAGCTCAAAGGAGTCAAATGTGGATTCCACTGACTGTGATGGCAACTTATTAGCAGCTGGAAGTGATGGCATTTATTATATGAGTTCTGACTATATGTAGTTGGCACAAGTATGTTTCTGTAGTATGTGTTACTTGTTGCTGTAGTATGTGTGTATCTTTCAGCCTTTAACATATCGGGAACTAAGGAATAGAAACATTAAGGGTATGTTGTGACTGAGTTCCCCTCCAGGGGTGGATGTGAAGCCCCTGGAGTCCTTTCAGCCCTCACTTAGCACAGGCAATCATTCCTTCAGTCACTTGCCATGCCTTGATTTTTTTTCTTTTATATGAGGAAGACTGCCCCAGGGCTCCCCAAACTGCTCTCTCAAAATGACCACCAGCCATGGGCGACTGGTGCCACCTTAGTTGGGGGGGGGGGCATGTGCCCCCTGCAATGACCAGTCAGCAACCAGGGGAGGAGTCCCCTTGCAGCCAATCTCACTGACTGCGGGGAGGTCCCCCCACAGCAAAACTTACTGACTGGTGAGCAGCCACACTGCTCCTGGAAGTGGCTACATCCAGCACTCCCACTCCCCAGCCAGTGCTCGCAAGGGGGGCACCAGTACTCCCGCTTTCCCCTTCTGTCCATCATCTAAGTGGGCAGTGCAGCCAGTCAAGGGGTGCACCAGTACTCTCAGGGTGTGCATGTGTACCCTCGTGCACATGTACCCTATGTGTTGCCACTGCCACCAGCTGCCCGGCCTGTGGTCACTGCTTCATGGGCTAATTGCATGGCTCCATTCCTCCCCTACACCATGCCCCATGTCTTGCAGATGGCATCCTCATTGATGTTCTCTTCCACTTAGCCCCTCCTCTGGGGTTTCTGAACTCTCTCTGGTCCCATACTTTCAGCCTCTCAATAGGCTCTTGGATCCCTCACTCTCAGCCCCTCCATCTGGGCTCCAGACCCCTTCCTGGGTCCCTGGGAACCTCCCCTTCGTTCCTCCCCAAACCTCCAGACTGCTTTAGGCATTACCCTTCATGATGACCTTCTGGAGCTGCAGCCACCCTGCTGAGGAGCTGAGCAGGCTCCAAGATGGTACTGCCAGGCTTCTCTCAGGGCCTAGGCTTATACCTGCTCTAAGCCCAGCCCTCCTCGTGAGTCAGGTGACTGTCTATCAGGCTTAGTCTCATCTGCTGGCTACCTGGGTCAGCTGATTCTCAATTAGCCTTGGCCCACACCTGTCAGTGGCTTCACAGGCTACTTGCCCTCTTAAAGGGGCAGGCACCCCAAATGCCCTGCCACATATGTCTACACCATGGTGGCAATATGCCCTAGCAAGGAAGATCATGAGCACACTTTAGCACTTGCTCCATTTTGTACACTCCAAACTTGGCAATATCACAGTGAAGACACTCCAGGGAATCCTCCTATGTTTGCTCTACAGGGGCATGTCTAGATGAGAGTGCACATGCAGTTTGAGCATCTCAAAGCTGTTTGAGGCACCACAAACTGCAGGCGGCACATGTGCAACTGTTTGCTGCATTGCTAATTTGCAGTGCAGTGTCAAAACTTGACACCAGGATCTCCACTACAAAAAAAAAGTGGTGCAGTGCATATGGCAGCAGTGTGTGCCACCGTAAATGGAACCTAGCCATCTAGAGCCATGCTCTGGTTGCTGTCCAGCCTCCATGCAGCCAGATCAGTGCTGCCACTGCCCTGGAAGGCTCCCAGTCTCCCCCCACCCCCACCCAGGACACTTTGGTGTGTGCCGGAGCAAGTGAGCAGAGGCATGCCCTGGGGCACAAAGCAACAGTACAAATATATGCCACTGTTATTTGTGCCAGGGCAAATGCATGCCCCTGTATGTAGGGACATGTCCAAGACCTCTATCTATAGTTTGTGAGTGGCTGCTGAGGACAACCTTGGAGAAAACTCACTAGCTCATTTATGAGCTTGCAGCAGGTAGGCAGAACAAGAGGGGGGCTTGGGTTTACTGAGGAATGCCCATATTGGGTCATGTTGCTGCCATCACATAGACACATCCTGAGTGACTCACCTAAAGTCTATCAGGAAGCCGAAGGCAGAGCTGGGTCTCCTGAGTCCCAGGCTAGTGCCCTAATCACTAAAGCCTCCTTCCTGTCTGCTGGGTAATTTATGCATCATCACTGGCTCTTAAGAAGCCCACTTTTCTAAGCTTCCTGCTTAATAGAATATGGGGGTAAGATAAAAGAGAGGGTGTGGAGATGATCTTCAGGACTTTGACTAAGCTTTTGGATGGCTCCAGGGGCAGATCCAGAAGGATCTAAAATAGAGTGCATGGCTGCACTCTATTTTAGCTGTGCTACACTTGAGCTCTCGGTGTAGGTCTGGCTGCAGTCTCTGCTTTCATGTAGCTTTGGAGCCCAGTGGGTGAGTGCTGCCACTGCTGTTCACATTCCCTCCTTTCCCCTGCTGTTAACTTTAGGGAGTAAGGGGTGGGGTGAATAGTGGCAGTGTTCAGCCCCTGGGCTTTGGAGCTGGGCAAATGTAGTGGCTCCAGCCAGGCCCTGCCCCAATCTGCTGATGAGCTCATAATGCTCAGTGCTCACACAGAGCTCTGACAGGAGCCCTTACTGACTGAGCAGCAGAGATCCTGGTTTTCTCTGATAAAAAATCCCCAATTTTCAGTTAAAAAAGTAACCCCAAATCCACATTTTCCATGGTTAAAATGAAGCACCACATATATATATGTGCATGTATTTATTTATGTATTTATTAGCAGTGTTTCATTTTAATCAAAGAAAAATGTGGATTTTAGGTTACTTTTTTAAAACTGAAAATTTGGTTTTGTTTTTTTGTTTTTTTTAATCAGAGAAAACCAGGATCCCTGATCATTAGATATGACTTAGAGAGAACTTATGTTTTAGATTCCTGGGCATAAGAAAGGGAAGAAACAGCACTGTCACACATGCAGATGACTCAGTGTATGTAAAATACATGTTACCAGGGCTTGATGAGAAAATTCTTCTCTATTAAGATAATACTTACTTGAGAGGAGAGTGATAGAAGGATATTGCACTCAACCTTGAAGACTGACCTGTAGATAACAAAGGATATAAAACAAGAAGATGAACCATTAAGCCAGTGAGCAGCTAAGCCAGTGTATTATTCCAAAGCAAGTCATGCATGAGAACAGAAATAAAAAGACGAAATAATGAACAAAGGAAATAAAGTGAAGGAATACATACAGCATGAAACAAAAACAGCACCACAGCTGCTAAACATGAGCCAATAAGCACTGTTAGCATTTAGATTTGTGCTCTAAATGCATTCTTCCTTGTACAACTGTGTGTTTGCTACATGCTCCTGAGGAAGCTGAAATAGAAGGCTCTCTTGGGGTTCCTAGTTACTCTCTCAAGTATCATGTCTTTCTGTTGCTGCCACAAAGCAGAAAAGCAGCTTCTTTGTCAACAATCTGGTGTCACTCGGAACCTAGTGGCTCAGAGTTTTCTTTGAAAAAATTGTGTTTGATGGTAAAGTCACACTGGGGTTTTTGCAGTCATCTCTCATGCAACGAGACATCTACATGTTTGTCTATAAGTTCTGTTTTCACATGCAGTAGAATGCTACCATTGAAATCTTTCTTCAATCAACAATGAACATTGTAAACTTAATGGTTTTCTTTCTATAAGATTATTTCAGTCAACAATTGTATTATGACAATAGCTGTATAACCATCAGTTGTTTTAGATTTAGCTGAATGGGAAATATGGATAAATGTGATGAAGAAAGGCTCATTTGCAGTTCCAGTGACTGGATCCAAAGCGAACACATTCAAGCAGCCACTAGAATACTTGGAAAAAAGAGTTTCCGTTTTTACCATTTTTTCTCACTTTCCTAAATTAAGATAAAACAATGTATACATTTTTGCCGTTATAGGCTAGTTTGTGATATCAGATGGAAAGCATAAAATACCAAGAGTTAAGCCAAAAGCACAGGGAAAGAGCCAAAACCATAGCACAATTTTCATAGAGGTCATGACCTGGCTAACTTTCAGTCCTCCTAATAATTCTTACTCGTATTAGCACTAATGCCACCTCTTGGGTACATGGGCTAGGGACAGACATTACACATAAACCCGTTTAAAGTGATGAGAAACTGGTTTAAACCTGTAACAGAACAGCCATTTAGGGTACATAAACCAGTTTGAAAATGTCTGAAACTGATTTGAAATAAACCTGGTTGAATGTAGTATCAGACTTAACTGATTTGGGTCAAACCAGTTTATGCAATGTCTGTCCCAGACCCCTTCCTGGTTTAACTTAAACCAGAGTTCCCCAGCATCCCAGATGCTTTGCAGTCCTGGGCAGGGCTCTCACCTCCACACCAGAGCTGGCTCTGCCCCTCTGCTCCCTAGCTGGAGCTCCAGCAGAGACTTGCAGGCACGGCAGGGTTAGCCTGGCTTCCCCCTGCCCCATCCTCGACTCACCACAGGCTGCTCAAGCAGGGAATCCCTCCCTCCTCTGTCCCACAGCACGGACCATAGCCAGAATGTGGTATGCTAGCTAATGCTGAGAGGTGTCTGTGTAAGGCAGACACAGGACAAAGGCAGATAGGACAGTGTCTGCTTAGGGCTTTTTGGAGCTAATCAACAGGTCAGCTGTCTTTTCACTCAGTTTAACTGTTTTAAATCTTTTCTCTTTCGTTTTGTGCTCAGTGGAAGCAAGCTAATGTGCCTGCAATATGATGTTGGGAAGAGTACCCCTTGGATAAAAACTTAGCTGTACTGAAGTCACTGGAAGTTTTCTGTTCAATTCAGTGGCAAATGGATTTCACCCATGTCTTTCTAGGGTATTGGGAAAAGAAAACAGAAAAAAAAATCTGTTGTGGCTGAAGCTAGAACAATACTGAAACAAATTGTTGAAATATATACATCGCACCCTAATGGTCATAGATTTGCAACATACAAGCACATTTAATATCATGCAATGGGTATTGTTATGAGTAATCCTACTGTAATTACTGAGTCTACTCATGTAAGGGTTGCTGAAGTACTGCTATACTGGTTCCAATCCTGCAACTGAGTCTGTGATGATAATGCTTGACAGATGTTACCATTAAGGTTTACATGCCAAGTAATAAAATCATTGCTTTCCCTGTTCTGTTTTAGCAGTTGCATCTCATTTATTTAGTGTAAGCTTAACAGCATTTGCTATTGATCCTGGATAAGAACAGTGACACAATATTGAGATCCTGCCCATTACTGCTTTACAGGGATATTGCATAGCAATGATGCTGCTGATGAAATGTCATTGAAGCCTCAGAGATCATCACAGTGATATGGCTTTCAAGAAGCCATCTCTTGTAAAAGTGACCATAACTTTCTGGAAGCTACCATAGTCTTGTATGATAGAGTTATGTTAAAATGATGGTGGCTACCTCAAACTCAGCATTGAGGGCACCCTTGATGCAAGTCTATGGACTTCTGAAACTCTTATTTTAATATATTTGTATCCAGATAACCAGAGGAAGATTAATATAATATAGGGGATGATCTGTTGTTCCATGCAAAAATGGAGACCATTAACTAGATAGGGTGCTTTGAGTTTTTCCATCAGTTGGTCTTTCTTAGGTTCTTGAAGCTTCAAGTGCTCTTTGCTAACATTCAGAGCATGTGGATGTGTTGAATCCTCAACATCAGGTCCTTATTTCTCTTGCTGAGCATTTAGACTTTCGAGATATTATGTGAGCCATTCATGTATCTTGCTTTTCAACCTAGATTCTGACACACACATTCCATTTAAAAGAATTGGCACAAGAGACTTCAGTCCCATAACACAGAGAGACCATCATAAGTGCTTTATATTATTAAAGAAACCTCAGAATTACATGCAATGTTGCCTGTTAATTTAAAGAACTGTTGGAACAGGTTGGTAGGAATAGACAATATGGTCATTAGAACTACAGTGGACCAGCTAATGGCCTTGTGAGTGTTAATAAGTCATCCTTAAGCATGTTGATTGATAAGCTCTTGCTGTGTATTTACAAAGAGTGTGTGTGAGGGTCTGGAGAACCCCACCTTCTTGGAATCTGAATGTCACAGCTTCACAGCTCCTGAAAAGAAACTGCATCACAGAGCCAAGCAGAGGAAAAGACCAGTGATTACAGATACTGGGTTAATACAAGACATTCTTATTTTTAACTGACAGTAAACAGTAGGAGGCGTACTGTAGCAGTATGGAGAAGCGTTTCCTTCTCTTACCTGGTAGGCTTCATCCTGAAGTTTTTGTTTCAGATATTCTTCCATCTTGAGCTCATTCTCCAGCTGACGAACAGAGTCATTTTCATAGTTCTCATCATCTGCTCTAACATAGGAATCTCCATCTTCTGTAACCCTAAAGGCAATAAATAGCCTCCTAAGATGATGACATTGTGATACCAGAACTTCTCTGGAAATCCTTTAGTAAAATCTGAGAAGTAAGTGGGTGTTATGTCCTTAATCCGTACACCAGGTCTTCAAATTGTTTTGTCCTTGCAGCCTTCCCACAAATCCTGCCTCTTCAGTGATTCAATATCCATGAAACAAACAAAAGGGCATTGCCCACTAAGGTTGAATTCAGGATACAATCCTATTCAAATCAACAAAGCAAAGATTCTCAACTTCCTTAAGAGTAAAACTAGGTTTTTGGACCTGATTCTAAGCTCAGTGGAGTCATTAGAAAGATACCCCTGAATTCCTTGTGCTTTGCATCAGACCCTACATTTGGATCTAGTCCTAAGTTTTTCAATTAAATAGACACTTTTGTTGACACTGAAACATTTGGCAAAACTATTTATTTTAGTTAAGGTTTTGATGCAACAGTTTCCTCAAGTCCCGCATACACAAGAACATTTTAGGATTCCCCAAATGGACATGTGGATACAATTTTGTTGTGCAGAAATTTCCAAGAGTTTTATTTTAATTCCAGTAGAAACTGAAAACAAATTTCAGAACTTCAAAAATTATCAGGCAGAATTGTCATTTTTCAGTTAGCTCAACTTTGGTCATTAAAATCTGCCATCTTTTCTATGCTAAATATTCACAAGTAAAAAGGCTTTATTTTTGAATCCCTAGTCAAAATCTAGTAAACTTGCTTCTGATCTTGGGTTCATGAGAATTTCAGTTTGGAATCCAGAGTACCAAATCTGGATCGCCTTGACTTCTTTAGCCTACCAAGCTCATTTTACATATATAGAGCCTCCTGTATTTAAATTATACTATGAGAAGAGGAGTGAAAGAAAAGATTGCATGCATATTATTTACATAATTTCTATACGAAATATAGTTAAAAAAACAAATAGAGAAACTACCCACATGTCACTGCGAATAGATCCTGTGGCAGCTGCACTATGAATGTATCCTGGCTTCCGAGCATTGATTTGTGCAAGGAAAGCTTTTTCAGAAGTTGGTGATGGAACAAGATCATCAAAATGTGTCCGTCCAAATTCAGAATCGACATTACTCTCAGTCTCACTGCCCACTTCTGGGAAACACAAAGGTGATTACAACTACATTCAATTTTTACAAGAACCAAGTCCACTAACCTGTTTCTCTAAACAAGTGTCAGCTTCTCTAATTCAGAATTCCAATATTTCCATAAATGTGAATAAGTCAGATGTTGTGTCACTGTTGCCTGAAGCATACTATATGATGTATTTCTAATTACAGAGATTAAGCAGATTTTTTTTGTGGTGGAACAGCACAATGCAGCCTTTATTTGTCTTAGCACGCATGCTACTAATTATAGGCATGCTATATAGCACAATTTACATATGCACCAAAAATGCTGTTATACTAAACAGGTTTCCTAATATTTAATTGCACCTGAATGTTTATAGCTTTGAAAATTGCAATCCTCTTTTCATTACTATTTTTCATTTTTAATTTCCATTAAACAGAAAAAATATCCAGAACTACACTCTGATTTATCTTCCCACTTCTTTACATGCATGGAAGATTACTGTATTGTGCTCATGCCCTTAAGTGTCACTCACCTGAGTTTAGCTCTTTTACCAGAGAAGACATGGTATTGGTGATTGAATCAGCTGCCACCAGTAAGTCATTTCTTAAATTTCGCCTTGCACCTGAGACAGAAGAAAGTCACAACATAGTGCTAAAATTTTTCTTAAGACACAAGTTAGGTGTACAACGTAGTTTTAACCTTATACAAGGTTTCTAATATCATAACATCAAAATGTCAAAGTCCTTACAATGGGTCTTGTGCAAGGCTTCATTTTCTTACGCTGTATGCAGTAGCAGCTTAACCTCATGATACATTTAGTCACCATTCTAAAAATGTGGACATTATTAATTACAGTCAAATGCACATTTGTGTCGTGATGACGGCTAAGATATTAAATCAGACCTGAACCTATTTGAAATGCCTGGGGGAGGTGGATAGAAATTATTTCTCTACAAGTTCCCAGTTCTGTTTAATATCAGTATTATTGCCATATACACAACTTTACAATTTTGATAGATTTTGAACAAACACTCATACCAATGTGGATTTTCTTTTCTCATTTCTCCTCAGGATCTTCTGGCATTTTCCACAATCTACTCCCATTTTTAAAAAAAAAACAACACCAACGTCTCCCTAAATAGCCCTGTTCTGCCATGACCTTGACT